CCTCGTCTCAGCGATGCAACCGATGGGCAAGACGGGGCGGGGGGGTGTGCGTGTGTGTTTTGGAGGGGCAAAGCTGCCAAAGGACGAATCCTTATCTGTGCCCTCAGCACAGGGCTGCCTGGGCAGCGCAGACGCCCCCGCTAATGCGGAGAAGGAGGAGCAATTGTTCGTGACCTGAGCCAGAGAGAAAACTGCCCGTGGGGGGGATGGAGGGGGCTGTCGCCAGGGCCGTACAGGGCTGCGCATCCATCGCTCCCTCCCGCCCTCGCTCGTGCTGCCGGCTGCTTGCTGTGGCAAAAAAAAATTCCGTCGAGCATACATGTCACCGGGGGAAGCTATTTTTGATAAAACAAATAAATCTTTCTGGCTTTTCTAAAAATAGCCATTGCCCTTTTTTTTTTCTCCCCCTCCCTTCCCAGCTCAGGCTGCCTTAGAGACAGAAATCCGCCTCGAGCCATCCAGTTATTAATACCAGTAAACAAACCTTTATCTCCGGTGCCTTGTTCCAGCGGGAACATGTGGGGGCGGGAGCCACCCGGCTGCCAGGAGCCCACGTCCCCATGTCCCCGCATCCCTGCTGCTTGCGCCCCAGACCCCGTCGTGGTCCCACGCTGCTCCTCCTGCCTGGTTCCGGCCGGCAGATGCAGCCAAAGCGGGGTGGTTTTGGTTTAAATTGGGGTTATTCTTTATGCCGCTGCCACCTTTGCTGGCTTGAGCATCCCGCGGGATGCAGAGGGGGATGTGCTGGGGATGCTGCCTTCACCTCCTGCCCCTCAGCATCCCCATCCCTGCCTGCACACACTCCCCGTGGCACGGGGATCGGGGGGGCTCACAGCACAAGTTGGGCAGCTCCTTCCCCAGAGCCGCACATGGCAGAGGCTAAAAATTCAGATTTACTGTGAAACCAGGATTTGTGGAGGCTTTCTGCACAGGGAGAGACCCTACCAGGTCCTGGGCGATGGATGGACAGAGTATTTCTCGGCAAGAAGTAAAAAGAAAAATACCTTTTATTACAGATAAAAGCCTCTTATGTTTCTAGAGAGCAGAAGGCAGCCCCACTACGGGACAGGCACGCGGGCAGGCACAAAGCGCTTGGTGCCAGGAACACGGAGCCGCTGCAGAATCCTCATCTTCCTCCTCCTCCTCTTCTCCTCCTCCTCCTCTTGCTCCCAGGAGGCAGCCGGAGGTCAGTAGCAGTGCGCGATGGTCTCCATGTTGAGGAAGCGGACGTGCATCTTGGTCTCGATGTCGACCCCCTGCCACATCTGCAAGGGGAAGGGGGTGAGCGGGGCCGGGGGTCAGACGCCCAGGTCTCTGCGACCGCCCTGCGCTCTTCTCCTGGGGAGACGAGTGGAGATGCCACCAACCTTAAGGAAGTCATCGAAAGTGATGCCCTCATACACCTGGTCCGGCCCCTGCACGCAGCGAGAGAGAGAGAACATTACGTCGATGGGCCGGGGGCCTCGGGGCACTGGGTGCCCAGCGGTGGGTCCCTTGGGGCTGTGGGACACGTCTGCCATGGGTGCACAGCACTGGCCCTGCACTG